TGCTCCAAACATAGAAACGACTGCATTCGTAAAACGTGCATAACATTCTATGGAAAACTTATTATATAAACTTGCTTTTTTTTGCAACTTTGAAACAAATATTAGTTTTTAGACTGCTGTGGTTATCATAACAAGTCACCACTAACTCTATTTTTTTCTTTTCTAAAAGTAATTATGGAAAGACTAATTATGAGAAGTTTTTCAGATATATTTTGTTGAAACATCTTTCTTGTTGAAACAACTCCTGGTGAATAGTTTATGTTCTTCAAAAGAACATAAACTATTTTTTTCCATACATTTAGAGTTTGAGTTAAAAAAATTTGCAGCAATTGCGCTACAAGAATAACCGACATCTTGTATCTAATTAAATGAATTTTTTAGATATTATTTGACTTTAAAACATTAATACAACGGTTAAAAAACAGTAGGTAGCAGTTGCAATTTTTGCAAGACCTTTTGAAATATTCCTTGCAATTAAGATAAGAAGTATATAGAGTTTTTAGTTTGAAAGCCAATAGAATTGTAGTTGTTTGATTGATGGAGTACACATAACTGTAAAACCTAAATAATATTTTCAGGTTGCGAGACCATTTTATTGCCTAACTCTATATTTAACCAAGTGGTATACAGAAAAGCTTATAAATTAAAACAGCCTAATGCACTTGTTTTAAAACTGCATTTAAATTATATTGCTTTACCAGTAGGTTAACACATTTGCGTAAAATACTTTTATTGTTCAAGTTTTATAGATGCTGCAAGATTATAAAAATAAAAAAACATGTTAATGTCTATATCTTTTCTTCAACACGTATAGCTCTTACGTAATTTTTTTTAATTTAGAGATATCCAAGACTTTAGCTTTTCATGGACCCCTCTTGCAATTTAACAAATATCATGCCGCTAACAGTGTAATTTTTTATAGTTTTTTGAGATATTTTGATAAAAAATGAATTATTTTCTCTCAAGATCAATTTTTAAACTTCAGATTATATATTTTTGTACATTGCCTATATAAAAATTATTATAATTAAGTTCACAAAAAACAGATTTAGTTCAGAACACATATATAAAAGAGAAACCGAAGCCGATTAAAATCCATTAAAAATAAACTTGAGTAAATTAATTAAAGTACATTTTTTTCTTGTATATTAGGTTTATAAACAGGAAGGCTGCTGTTTTTTGTTTGTTTTAAAAAATATCTGTAGAAGTTTTTCAAATATTTTTTATTGAAACATCTTTCTTGTTGAAACAACTCCTGGTGAATAGTTTAAATTCTTCAGAAGAACATAAACTATTTACCAGGAGTTGTTTCAAAGCCGTGCTTTCACAAGTACAACAAGTGCTACCGCACTGGGCTCCGATATTTAGGAAGCCCCAAATATTAAAAAAACGTTTTGCTAATATGAAACTTACTTATAAAACACTAGAAGCCAAATCTTAACAATCTTTAGTACTGTATTACTTTTCGATTAGAAACTTATTTTATTTATTTATGTTCTTGGAATGTAACTTATTTATGTTCGAGGAATATTTGCTTATTTTGCATGCGCAATTGAATGAGACTCCGTTCAAATAAAAATGAAACTCCGCTCAAATTTTTCTCATTGAAAAAGTTTTCTAAAAATCTAAAAGTCAATCAAATGGAAACAAAAAAAATTATTTGATTTAATAGCAATTCAATTTAAAAAATAAAGTTTTTGAATATATTTCAAATATATTTAATAGTTCTGTTGTTTCATTGTTTCAAATTTTTAGTTTTTATTCTTTTTTAAACAGTTTTGTTAACATTTTTAGACTTACTTGACGTATAGTTTAAATTTACAAACAAGATTTAATTACTTCAAATGTCGAAAAGATGTTATGAAAGCGGCGCACAGAAAGAGCGAAACAGATCCGAAGTGTAGCAGAATTAAATAGCCTTGCTGGATCATTAGATAAATTTTTTAAACGAGGCGAAAATCCGTCTGTTTCGAACACTACCTTAATCGAAATATGCAATTTAAACGATAAGTCTCATTTTTGAAAACCATAATGTTGAAGAAAATATGAATGAGCCACAATATTTAAACATTGATATGCAAAACAAGATTGTAGATTGTGAATAGCGTCAATATTTAGGGTTATATATCTAACAAGACTTCAGAAATTAGTAATAATTTATAAACGGAGAACGGCACTTAACAAAAATGCAATCATGGTATATTAGATTTTGCAAAATGGTCTATTGAAATCGAACAAACAATGAATATTGTTGGTAGAGCAGTGACTAAAATATATTTAAGATATCCATTATAAAAGAAAACCTCAAGTAAGATGTTTCAGTGAACCTATTATCTGAACATGAACCTAAACATTAATCGCTAAAGTCTTACATCTTGAATCTTACGTCTTGAATCAGCGTATCAATGGCGATTTTTTAGAATAAATCATTAAACATAGAACAGGAACAGATCATCTCAATGCAGATGTGTTCAATTAATAAATACGCAGATGGCGAATAATTTAAAAATGTATTGTAAAAAAGGTATTGTTTTTAAGTGAACGAAATTTAGCTTTTAGGGGCAGCAACAAAAAACTCTTTGAACCATATAATGATAATTTTTTAGGATTAATTGAACTACTTGCTGGTTTTGTTCCAGAACTCAAATAGTATTTAAAATCAATCGCTGTTACAGAAAAAAGAGTTTCATTATAGATTCAACACCAAATACTCGCAAAAAATAAACAGTTTTCGATCATTATTCTGAATGTTGTATGTTATAATAGCGGACCAAAAGCCATGTTTTCAAGACAGTTTCTTAAACTTTGTATATGTAAAGTTACCAACCGGAGAATATTTAACAAACCTTAGTATTGAGGAATTAGAATTATTAGGAATCAAGATTGCTGATTGCTGAGGTCAGTCGTATGACAGCGCAAGCAACATGAAAGGAGAATATTAGGGAGCGAAAAGTTGAATAATAGAAGTCAACAACAAAGCATGGTGTACGCCGTGTGGTGGGCATAACATCAATTTAGTTATAAATGATAATGTTAAAAACACTATTAAATATCAGAATTATTTAACTACATTAAATAATTTGTATTTGATTTTTGCTGCATCCACAAAGCGATTGGCAATTCATGTAAAATATTGAAAAATTATTCTAAAAACGCCCAGCAATCCTCAATAAGAGTATTGTTTTAAAAGTATAAAAGCCGTGAAATACTAGATAAAAAAAGTTAGTTTTACGCTAGGTAAACTTAAAAACAGCCATCCAGATAGAAAAACTTATGCTGCATTTTTAATAAAACAAATAAAATCTTATGAATTTGTTGTGCTCGCAACAATTTTGATGTCACTTATTATCAAAGTTTTTTATTTTTAGCCAAATACTTCAGCGAGAAAATATAGCAATTAATACTGCATTATATCATACAAAGGCTATGCTATTATCTCATTGTGATGAGGTAATAGCATAGCCTTTCATGGGCTGATTTCATGAATGGTTTCATGGATGATTTCATGAACAATTTTAAACAGATTTTTAAAAGAAACACAAGAGGCATCGGTAGATATAGATATCATAGCATCATTCGCTGAACGGTCTTCTTGTGATACTAAAATATTAGGTAGAAACAAAAATTGACTTGAAATACTCCAGAACCTAGTTTAGTCCAAAAGAAGAGCATGTAATCTCAAGAGATTAGCAGACTATTGTTATTATAGAGACCTTAAAATAAAGCAAATGAGAAATATACGATATTGATATACCGAATATACAATATTGATATACCGAATAAAGAAATTGAACCAATAGACGTTAATTGATCCAATTGAATGCAGTGATGATATTGATATACATGATCTCGTTTCTGAAATTGATGATGAGTATAACCATCTAACTCAAACGGCTGAAGATAAGTTTAAAGAACCTTAATTTAATGAACTAATCGATAAAGTAAAAAAATCATTGCAAAAACAATTTGATTCGTTTACTTTTTTAAATCAAGTCTTTGGTTTTCTTTTCGATAATAAAAAGTTAAAAACTATGAATACAAATAAATGCAATACTAATTGCTCAAGCCTGCTCAAACACTTAGAAAATGATGTTGATTAGGAGGAATTCAAAAAAGAACTTTCTATTTTAAGATATTTTTTAGAAGATAGTTATACTATTATTGAGAATTTGGAATTCATTTTAAAAAGGAATTCGAAAGAGTTTCCAAATGTATGTATCGCGTATATCAAATAATTTTAACAATACCTATTACCGTTGCCTATTGTGAACAATCATTTCCAAAACTAATAAAAACTAATTCAAAATTAATTGCAAATTATCTGCGTTCTACAATGTCACACAAAAGACTTTCACGATTTAAAATACGGTCGGTAGAAAACGCAACCGTAAAAGGGCTAGGAAACTTGGTTTTTAATTTCTTTGTATATCTATTTTTAGTGATATCATGTTTTATAACGGTTTACTAAAAATTTTATTGATAAAAAAGACTTATATTGATATGAAAGTTAAATATTATGACAAATAAAATCAAGCTTTTGTGTCTATTCTATATCTGATTTTAGTTTTTTCCCTGATTTTTAGAATAAAATCAGTGAAAAATTAAAATGCAATACAGCTGGTTTCTGTTTTTGTAGTTTACTAGTCTTGACAATATATATTGAAGAGAAACGGTAGCACCAAATTAAAATATTATGTCTCAGGAGCTACTTTTAAATGTATGTATAAAAAAATCTTGTAGAAAATAAAATCTTTTATTTCAAAAGATATGATCTGTTAAGTAAACTTTTGTTAAAAAAGTAATTTTTGGCCCTCTGTATATTTCTTGATTAATTAAGGCTTATATTGAAGTGTATTTTAATGAGAAAACTTCAATTACGGTATGCCACAAGCACCACAATATGGACTCAATGGTGTAACAATATTATTGCCAGTTTTAGTATTCTGTCATTTGTTATGAAAAACCTTCAAATAAAAAGTCTATTAAAGAAAAACTGTTACCTTTTTTTTCTTAATTGAAATCAAGTTATTGATTTAATAGTGTTCTCTGCAATTTTGTAATAATGAAGTAATATTAAACTGTATTTTTTTTTAATGTGTTTTTTACTTTTGTGTTTGTCACTTTTTGTGTTTTTTTTAAAACGTCAATACTTTAGCCTCAACATAAAAATACTATCTTAAATTAAAATTAGAGTTTTCAAACGCATCCAACCATTAAGTATTTATTTAAGCTGTTGTATTGTAATATTTCATTTACAATAATCTAATAAGATTTTATTATTTTGTGGTCGGGTATTTTTTATTTATTACACACATAAATACTTGACGTTTATTTATAATTAAAACTGTCAAAATAATGTAAAAAGTTTTATTATAACACTATAAAAGCAAAAGAAAATCTAAAAAACAAGACTTTTTAATAATTAAATTTATACGTTTTATTAAATAAAATCATAGTCATAAGAAACAGATTGTTTTAAAAAACAGCCCGTTTCCATTATTTTGCCGTTTCAACTTGAAATTTCGATATTCGGAAAATAAACATTGACATTTTAATACAAAGATGCAAAAGATTTAAACAGATTAAAAGATTAAAGAGCAAGAAAAAAAGTTAAGTTTTATTTACAATTATTTACTATTTACTTGTTATTATAAATTATAATACTTAGGAGTATTGTATTAAGTATTAAGGAGTATTAAGTGAACATTTTGAGCTTATCATTGTATCGAACATTTATCATGTTATTATATTAACAATTATTAAGATTTAAGTAAAAATACTCAATATTTGTCACTTTAGTAATTATTTACCCAATCAGGAAGGATTTAGGACAGATACCGTTTTGCAAATAAACATCTACAAGTTTTATTTTTCAAAAAATGTCAACTATTTAAGGCAAACGTAGAGTTAGAACAGTTAACATAAAACTTTTAAACAAATTATTTGAGAAATCCTTAGATATTATTAACAACACTGACGATAAAAACCAGTTTAGTAACCTTTGTGACTTAAAAGACACTTTAAACGAAAAATACAATAAAGTCATCCAATTGGAAGAGATAACCTTACTGGTTGAGGATGAGGACGAGTTAGAAAATGAAGTAGATCTTCTACAGAATTTAATCTAGTATTCAAAAGTGAAACTTCTAAAATTAATAAAGAGTTGAAGAAATTCGACATTAAAACTGAATGCAATAGTTCATTTAGTAACTTTAAAAACAAGACAGTAAAATTACCTGTTTTAAAATTAGATAATTTTGACGGAGAACCTGAAAAACGGACATCTTTTATAGAAAATTTTGAATGTGCTATAGATATGAACAATGATCTGTCAGGAATTCAAAAAATGACTTATCTTCAAAACTTGCTAAAAGGTTCAGCTTTGTCATCTATTTCAGGTCTCAGTTTATCCAATGAAAACTACAAAATAGCTTTAGACATCCTTAAGGAGCGTTATGAAAATAAGCATAATATGATATCATTCCACATGAGATAACTACTGTCATTTGAAAGAGTGCATAGTTTAAATAGAATTGAAAAATTAAGACATTTATTAGATAATATAGAAATACAAATAAGGAGCCTCGAAACTCTTAAAATTACAAGTGAAATGTATGGACCATTACTTGTTCCGATTATACTACAGAAAATACCTGAAGAACTGAAATTAATTATAAACAGACAACTTGATAAAAACAGTTCATGGGATGTCTTAACCATCATTATCATTTTAAAATCAGAATTACGTGCAAGAGAACAAGTCTCATTAAATTTGAATAACAGTGTTGATAAAACTTATACAACTGAAACATTTTTAAAAGTAACAATAACTACGAAAATTCAAATTTTAACAGAAACTCTCGTCAATTTAATTACAGTAAGAAAGCTAAAGAAAATCCATACTTTGATAGAAATAATCCAACTAATATACCACAATTTATCAAATGCCTTTTTTGTGACAGATCACATAAATCACAATACAGCAAATTTATAACAGACATTCAAAATAGAAAACGAATAATTAGTGACAAACATCTGTGTTTTAAATGTTTAGGAAGTGATCATACATCAAAGAATTGTACATCTCGTATCAAATGTTTTAAATGTGGTAATCAGCATCATATAGCACTTTGTCTAGAAAAACAGAATAGTGAATTACAAAAAGGTGAACTAACAGCCATTTCAAGTAACAATAATCAGCCCATTTTACTCCAAACTGCTTCCAGTGATGTATTTGACATAAATGACTGATTACATAATTGCAGAATACTTTTTGACAACTGTTCGCAGCTTAGTTACATATCACCTGATTTGTGTCGCAAATTAAAACTTGAATGTGTAGGAAAAAAGAATATTAACATTGAAACATTTGAAAATAATAGCAGTAGAGAAAATCTAGAAAAAGTTAAATTAAAAATTAAATGATTATTTGAAAAACTTATAAAAATTAACTGTTATGTAAAAGATATTTGTGCGCCTCTCAATGGACAATATATAAATCTTGCTAAAGAGAAGTATAGACACTTACACAATTTAAGACTAGCAGATAGTAACTTGCAAAACGGGAACTTAGAGATTGATGTCTTCATTGGGGCAGATTATTACTGGCTATTTATTGAAAATTCTATTATTAGGGGAAATAATTTTGATCCAATTGCCATTAAATCTAAGCTAGGTTATTTATTAAGTGGTCCTATAAGTTTTAATAATATGTTTAAGAATAAAAATTATAACTGTTGTGTAAATACAGCTCATGTCATGTTTGTTGAATCAAGTTCATCTCCCAAATCATTAATTAAAGAATCCATGACATCTGTATGGGGTGTTAAAGAGATGAATGAGTGTAACTATAAAGTCATTGATAGGTTTCGTCACACCATTAAATATTATAATACCCTCAAACGCTATAATGTTAACTTGCCCTTTAAAGAAGATCATCCTCCACTTAGTGATAACTTCGATTTATGTATCAAGCGTTTTAAATGTCTTCAAAAGAAATTGAGTAAAGATGATTCTTTACTTAAATTATACAATGACATTTTTAAAGAACAATTACAGAACAGCATTATTGAACGAGTTGTTGATAAAAACAAATTTGAAATAGTGCACTACCTACCGCAACAACCAGTTCTGAGAAATGACAAAGTTACTTCTAAAGTCAGAAATGTCTTCGATGCAAGCAGTTCTGTTGATTGTCCTTCATTGAATGACTGTCTCTACCCTAGACCACCTTTAACCTCATCCTAATATGAAATCCTCCTGCATTTTCGTGGCCAAAAAATTGTCTTTGTGGCAGACATTGAAAAAGCCTTCTTGCAGATTACATTATCTCTTGAAGATCGTGATTACGTCCGATTTTTGTGGTTCGAGAACATTAACTCAGTTAATAAAGACAATATATTTACTCAAAAAAATATTCCATATAAAATTTGCAAAGTTCTGTTTGGCGTTACATCTTCTTCCTTTCTTCTTTCTACTACAATCATTAGTCACGCTGAAAAGTACCTTTCTGATGATCCTATGATTGTTAGTAAATTAATGAGTTCTTTACATGTCAATGATCTGAACTCAGGAACTGACTCAATTGACTCAGCCATTAATTTTTATCAAAAATGTCAAGATCAATTAAAAGAAGGTGGCTTTATTCTTAGAAAATTCGAATCGAACTGCAAACAACTTGAAAACCTAGTTAATGAACAAAACTTTACCTCCTTTAATCTTACTAAAGTATTAGACTTAGTATGGAATAAAAAAGAAGACAACTTAATCTATGATTATAGAAACTTGACACACAATGATGACTCAATTTCAACGAAACGTAAAGTTCTTTAGTTTATTGCAAGCATTTATGACCCACTTGGTATAGTTAATCCATTTATAGTCAAGTGTAAAGTATTCTTTCAAAAACTATGTATCAAAAAACGTAATTGGGACAAGCCTCTTGAGGGAAAAATGTTATTGGTGTGGCAAGCCATTATCAATGACATTCAATCCTCTAAACCCATTATCATTCCTAGGTGGTACCATAATATTTATTCAAATCATGTTGTTGGCTTGTCATTGCATGGATTTAGTGATGCCAGTAATATAGCATTTGTTTGTTGTTTGTTTGTTTGATGATGAGCACAAAGTACATAAAGTTTGGCTAAACGAAATATGCCTTGATTGCTCAATTTGTCTACTTTTTTAACGAGCTACTTATTTAACGCATAAAGGGGTTAAATAAGTATCCGTATACTAACGCATGCGCAAACATTACATTTTGTCTAATTTTTTTAACGGGCTACTTATTTAACGCAACACCGGAGTGGACGGATCGCTTTGAAATTTCCGGACGAAGAAGGAGACACAAAAAAGCGACTACGCCAAGAACCTCTATCGACTGTCACGGTTTCGATCTTATGCTGTTTCTTCTTTCTTTCAACACCGTAACCAATTGTGAGATGGTCCAGAGCCGAAATAAGAACAGATACTTTTCTTTTTTTAATTTTTTTTTTTGTTTTATAATTTTTATTTGTTTATTTTGAGACTTTATATTTTTGTTATACTTTGTTTTTTATTTTTAAGATTTTTAATCTGTTTATATGGTTGTTATTAAGAACAGTATGGATATGTGTTCCATATCCTAACTCCTCTAAAACTTTCCCAACAGGAAACCCTTTCTTTTCCATTGGTAACCCAAGAATTGACACGGGTACTTATGTTCCTTGTGGGTGTAGATTTATGAAATAGATGTGGTATACCATTAATAAGTAATCCTTTTTCAATAAGTATTTGTTTTGTTTTATCCGTTTTCATGACATTTTTAATCATGGTACCATTTTTTTTAATTGTAGCAGTACGCAGACAATTCGAACTTTTTTGCAGGGACATAAAATCAGTCCGCTTTTTTTTCGAAACAGTAAAACTATTTAAAAAAGCAAGTGGTTCAGTGATCAATTCATCAAAAAACCAAAGGTCTTGCTCTTGGGGGTTTTGATCCTTAAATGTACCCAGAGTTGGACACAATAGAGTGGAACAATAACACCGGTTTAAAAATTTTGGGTGTTTTTTTTCACACCAGACTTAATATTACTTTGCCCATATCTTTAATCGGCCCTGATTACAAAATAATTACGAAAAGCGCTGGACCTGAGATTTGCAAAGGTAATGGGGAAAATTATAGAACCAAATAAAGCTTGCTGAATTCTAGAAAGAAATATTTATTCAAATTTACATCTAGTACGTGATCTAATAGATTACGCAGAATTTAAAAAACTACCTAGTTTCATTTTGACAATAGATCAAGAAAAGGCGTTTGACAAAGTCAATCGTGCGTTTCTGCTGCAAATTCTCTGAAAACTTTATCTCGGAGAAAATTTTGTTTTTTTCATTAGCATCTTATATTCAGGAGTTTCGGGAACTTTTCTGAATTGCGGGTTCCTGTCGATCTCTTTTCCTACGAAAAGGGGGTTTAGACAAGGAGACCCTCTTTTTCTTTTGCTGTATATTTTTGTTACTGAAGCTTTGGCTTAGTTAGTCAGAGCGGACAGCAGAAACGAGGGTTTTTCTATACCGGGAGCACTGAAACCCTTAAAACTACAGCAGTACACAGGTAATTTAAACTTTTTTGTCAAGGACGTAAAATGCGTCCGCTATTTTTTTGAAAACTTAAAAATCCAGTCAATTCGTCTCCCCACTGTTTAACAGTGGAAGGTCCAGAGTGTGTTTCCTGTAGGAGGATGAGATCGAAAGAGGAATTTTCAGAAGCCCGAAAAAATTGTCGCGTTTTGTTTGGTTATATAGACCGTTTATGTTGCACGTTAAAACATTAAGAGTCATGATGGAGAGAATCAGTTTTCCTAATTTGAAAACTCGTGTAACTTAAACATAAATATGATAATTTTACAACCTGACATAAAAAGTACAAACATTTAAACCTTAAACTTTTTGCACAGATTTTTGTTTGAAATGATGTAATACTAACAGATGGTCGCTTTGAACCATAACATTTTACACAAAGGCACGAGCTACAACAATACAGATTACGACAGCTTATGTGGTTAATTAAAAATAGAACATGCATTTTAAAATAGAACGTAAAAGAGTGGAAAAGTTATACAGATTTGAGAACAGAAAAAAAAAGGAAATTATGAAAATAGGAAAGATTTTATAACGCAAAGAAAATTAATGTTAAAGAAAATTCTTACGATTTCTTCTCCGCACTTCTTAAGATATCATAGGCGTCAAAATTTAAATTTAAATCTTGCTCGTCGTCGATTAAAACATCTCTGTCATTCTTGTCTTTTTCGTGGGTAACCACTACTATTTCTTTGTTTAAAACTCCTCTGTTTTCTTTGCTATAAATTTCATTGCTACTTTTTTTTGATTTAGAACTTTTTCTGTTTTGATTTTGGTTCTTTTACTACTTGATGTTTTAATTTCTATGTTATGTTTATCAATTTCTAAACTTGCAATTTTTTCGCCAGTTACTGCCATGATCTCTGAAATTTCTGTTTGTGTGTTGGGCAAACTTTCTGAAATATTTGTTGGTATGTTTTCTGTAGTGACAGTTGATGAAGATTCCGCACTTGATAAACCACTTAAGTTTACAAGCTTAGAGCTATGTTGAGGTTGCCCACTACGTTTGTAGCATAGGGTGAATCCATCGACATTTTGATATCTTGGCAACGGGTTAATGTGAGGGTTTTGCCAGTTTTTAATTATAATTATAACGTTTCCTGTCAATATATCTTCTCCGTGTATCTTTACCTTTTGACAGCTAAAAGATTCAAATGTGCCTCTACCTGCCGCAAGGTGTTTAGCTAAGGTGGTAAGGGCAGCTAAAAAAAGGGCAGCTAAAAAAACTAAAAAATGACAGCTAAAAAAACTAAAAAAACTAAAAAAAGGGCAGCTAAAAAAAGGGCAGCCCCTCTCAAAAGGATACCAATTGGAGTATTTTGTACTAACTCATGTATATTACGTACGAACTTTTGAGTAATCGAAAGAAATACGTTTTTGATAACAATTTCAGTCTCGAGAAATTCGGAAACTTTATCAACGTTATTGACAACAAATTCGAAGTACCGGTGTTTATAATGTCTTTCTGTAGAGGGTACCCTTTTGATCTTATTGTCATTAGGCCGAGAAGTCTTTGCAATAATTACGCACGCGTGGTTTGATGAAATTGAATAATTGAACACATGTACTTAAATAACACCTATCTATTTTGGGGACTTTATTAATTGTGGTTTTCAATTCTGTAAAAAAGTTTCATATAAAAATAATAATATAATATAAAAGAATCTTGATACACATGATTATTCATGGACCAAGTCTTTAAATAAACATGCGGCTAAGTAATGTTAAGCGATAAATGATTTTATTGATTTTCCACGATTCATATGGCCTCAATATTGCGCGATCAGATGGCATTTAAATTTAGAAAATAAGATGGAACTTAACGTATTTTTAACTACATGTATCGGATTAAAATGGGCCCCATGTGGGCTAGCCCTTGAATATAAAATACTTTGTATTCAAGCCCAGAAGCCTCAACTAGTTTCTCCGCGCAGCGGCCTTGTTCCTCAAGGTTCGTGTTTCGGAGTTATAGAGTTGAGAGATGGTTATAGCCACAAAATAAGTAGCCTCCTAGTTTGTAGTGGCCTTCTTGGCCTTGAGGAGGTGAAGTAAAATAAAAAAAAAAAAAAAAAAAATGAGGCTTATTTTGAGCCCAAGTCCACTCGGGCAAACCCATTTAGGCTCTAATAGGACATAATCGCTGGGAGTTGGCATTTGCAGCATTAATACTCATGTTATAATAGAAACTGTTCTTCATTTCCAAAAGTTAAATTAGAGCAAAAAAAAATTAAACAAACTATAACAAATAAAAAGAAAAACAATATTAGTTTACTTTTGGAGACAATTCACGAACGATCAACCTGTCGTATGCAAAGGATCCAAAATCGAGAAAAAACGGAGTCGAGAGAATTCGAGAAAAAACTCCGTCGGAGTCGAGAAAAAATCGGAGTTTCGATAATATTTTGTTATAAAAATTAAACTATCTATTTGATAAAAAAATTAAACTCTCTTTTTGATAATTAAACATTGTTCTTGTATTTTTATTTTTTAATTTTAAATATTTCTATTTATAATTCATAATAAAATTTTAAAAAATTTATGTTTTTATATTTCTTAGTACATAAATATTTTTCTTATCACAATTTTTTAACGAACAAGTTATATCTAATAATTGGCTCTCTAACCGGCATCGGTTAGGAAGAAGGCGTGAACTTTCAGTTAAATGCCCTTCTGCGTTGCTATGCAATAAAGACTTGTTGGGGCACCTATAGCAAAAATTAAAAAAAAAATTTGAAAAAAAAAGTATTTATACTGAAGATCTTTTTAAATAATATTTTAAAAAGATCAAAACATCTATCATTTCATCAGAAAGCGAACTACGAAACTTTGTGACAAATCTGGAAGACGAGGAGAAAACTCTTTCTGCTTCCGAGGAAGTTGCTTGAATTCTGTGGATGGCTAGTTCAAATTTTAAAACTGTTTCTGATTTCACACCAGTTACTTCATATTCTTTCAACTGATCGGTGAAGGTCTTGACTTTTTTTGGTTTTTTAGCTGCTGATTGATTTTGAATTAGAACTTCTTGAATTTCGGAGAAAAAAGATGTCGATTGTGATGGTTCTTTTTGTTTGTTTTTAGCGTGATTATCTGATTTTGATTGGAGACTATTTTCTTTTGTTGCAAATAGTTGATCAAATAATTTTGAAGCATAAATTTGAATATCTTTTTTGGAAGCGTAAAAAAATGTGTGGTTTTTATTTTTAAAAAAATCG